TTCTTAATAACTTCTGAGTTACTGAATGGATATCAATGAAATTTTCAGCATATTATCTGTATACTCTAAAGAACATTAACTGGTTGAGGAAAATTCCCAGATATTTCACACATTAGTTATATATGCAGGTCAATTGCAATGGAAGAGAACTGCCACGGCTTCCTCTGTCTGTTGCTTGCCTATACAAACACTCAGCTCTCTGTATTACCAAAATGTAGGCGACGAATTGCCTGTCATTGGGTGTGAAGCTTTGAATCCGGACTCCCTTTTCGAAACACGGCAGTCTCCTTTCAGCAGCGACGGCGACAGAGAAATTTTATCATAAATTTTTCCATTTTGGTTTCTTGGGAAAATTTTCAAAATTCCTAGTATTTATTTTTTTGTCTAAAAAAAAAACCCTCCAGTAAATATGTCGTTATGGAAACAGACTTCTAAGGGAGCTCGTTGCCTGCTAGGACCAGCACGTAATATTGTTGTACGTCAGAGCTTTTCGAAGAAGCACAATCCTACCCCTACTTGCATGAACAAGAGCAAGAAGTCAGAGGAACAGTCCGCAAAGTGTGAAGATACCCATCCCAAGCCACGAGATGCGAAGACAATACGTCAAACCTTTCCCTTTTATAACCTCGTTGAGTTCAGCCGAGAATGCTGTCCTGACCCATGCGCCGATTCGTTTCCCCCCTTCGATGTGTGTTTGTACAAGGAGTCGGACAAAAACAAGCGCAAGTACCAAGTCACCTGGTCGGAGTGTCCGCCAGTGGCGATAATGCCGAAGAAAATTTGCTGCTTTGAAAAGATTAAACGGGCACCCGTTAACCGCCGTGATAAAAGTGAGAAGCCGGCCACAGCCTGCGAGCCACCGCCGTGCAAAAAAGCGACGCCTGCTGAACTAGGATGTCCTAGGATTAAGTTGCCGCGCTGCGGCCCAGCCCGGATTCCACCCAGATGCCACCGGGTCCGCTTCCCCTCAGATTGCGTGAAAGTGAAGGCGCCGTATCCGGCCTTCTCGGAGTGTGCGCGACCCAAGCTGCGCAAGAAGCGCAGGACCGAATGCACCTGCCTAGCCGAGATACCTCAATGCGAGCTAAACAAAATTTTGAATAGACGCCTAGAAAGCGGAAACGTCAGCATGAATCCCTGCGAAAGGAAGCCTTGATTGCATAAAGGCATTTTGGTTGAATATCTTTTAAAAAGACGACCGTGAAATAAATAAATTTATTTATAACTGTGTAGCACCCTTGATTTTTAATAAAATTAACTTGTGATTCAACAAACATTACATGCATAGACTTCGAAGATTTGTGCCCCGATGAATTAAGTGAGGATTAAACAGATCAGTAGATCGAAAGAGGGAGGTCTTGGTTGCACCAATGCCGTGAAGTTATTGGTTTGATTATAATTGACTTTGAAACTGGACCTGACTCACTTCGTCCTTGAATGTGATTTAAGTCATTCCGCCCCAGTGAATATAGGATCATATAGATTGATAGTTAAGAGCTTCTCTTGGCTCGTTCGCTCGTATAAAGTCCATTCTCCATATCGATCGTAAGCAGCATTTAGTTTTCTAATCATAGCAGGCCATGGCAAGATTCTCTTGCGATATTCCGATTGTGCTGTGTGTTTGGCATTATTTCGTCACAATGAAAACATCTTTCGACTGGCAATAACCTCAAATTACAGTTTTTATTTTATTTTTATTTTCCATCTTTTTGTTTATCCTTGGGGGAAAATGTCGGGCATGCAGTCTATGGCGAGAAGCGTTGGTGCCATAGTCCAAGTAGGTCGGCGTTTCTCCACCACTTCTAGATTCTCGCTGCTGGGATCAGTGGGTGACAGCTACCACGGATTGTTACTGAAGCAAAAGAATGCAGTGAAAAACGTTCAAAACGTAAACCATATCAGCCGGCCACTGGAGGAGAAAACAACGCTTCGTCTAGTCCTGCAAAAGCTCGACGACAGAAGACACAAGACGAGCTCAACAGACAACGATGGGAATAGTTTCGGTCGAAAGCAATCGGATGACAAGCCCAGCGCTCTGAGTCCATACATACCATCAAAAAATAAAGAAAAGCTCATCTTCATAAGCGGAGAAATATTTCTCCCAGTCCGGCAGCCTGAGTTTGTTAGTCCATGCGCGGAGGTCATCTCCATAGAAGAGGAGGGAGCCCCTGTCGATGAAGTGCCTGAGCCTATTAGCGAATATCAAAAGGAGGAGGCCATCGAACAAAGAAAAGAAAAGCCTATAGTCATGATTGAACATGTTTTCTACAAAAAACAAAAGGAGGAAAGTCAAATCAGTGAGGCTGAAGCGATCTGCGAATATCAAAAAGACGAAAACCCAATCGAAGTAAGTGGAGAAATCGTATGGGGACAACAAAACGAAGAAAGTATTGTGGGTTTGAGTGATGATCAGATCTACGGAAAACAGAACAAAGAAGATTACGAGATCCTGAGTACAGAAGAAATGGAACAGCAAGCCTCCGATGTGGCTGAAGAGATCACCAGTAGAAAACAGAGAGAAGAAAAGCCTATTCAAGATGAGATCACCAGCATGAAAGAGACCGAAGACGATGAGATCTTGAGTACAGAAGAAATGGAGCAGCAGCCCTTCGATATGGCCGAAGAGATCACCAGTAGGAAACAGAGGGAAGAAAAACCTTTCCAGGAAGACGAGATCATCAGCAGGAAACAGAGAGAAGAAAAGTCGTTTATTCAAGATGATATCTTGAGTACAGAAGATATGGAAGAGCAGCCCTTCGATGTGGCCGAAGAGATCACCAGCAGAAAACAGAAAGAAGAAAAACCTTTCCAGCATGACGAGATCATCAGCAGGAAGCAGAAGGAAGAAGAATCCTTTCTCCAGGATGACGAGATCTTGAGTACGGAGCAAACGCAACAGGAACCCTTCAATATAGCTGAAGAGATCACCAGCAGAAAACAGAGGGAAGAAAAGCCTGTGGGCAGAATCGAACACGCCTTTTTAAAAGAAACACCCGAGGTCGCTGAGCTTTTAAAGCCTGAGGAAATTTTCAGTAGTAGTGCTCAACGAAAAGAGAATCAACAATAACCTGCAAAAAGTGGATATTTAATCAAAACAGGACCAGTGACCGTTTTACAGCACCATAAGGATATTTGGATAAGATGAGTGTAACGAAGAAGAATTGGTAGTGCTAAACGATGAATAATAAGAAAAAGAAGCCATTGCTAACTTTTCTGTGTTTACAATATACAAAATAAAAATAAATAACAAACGCCACAGATTAAAAATAAATTTTTTGTTTTGCTTTTAGAAGTATTTGCAAGAGATTCTCATGATGATTCATATGTGGCATCATATCGAAGAATATTTTATTTTAAAATAGTTTTTTATTCACTAAGGTTTTCAGTCTCCTCTTTTTTTTTACAAAGTTCTCTGATGTATAAAGACTTATATTATCGATAAGAAAGTTACGTCCATCTCTCTGCATTGCAACTGCTCTGAGCATGTATTTGCTCAACTATAACTTTTCAATTTCAATGATTTGTTTTTCTTTATATTCAAATAAAAACCTTAAAAAGACTGGGCATATCTTTTTATTGGACCTTAGCACTTCCTCTCGCAAATATATCGATTTGCTGCAATCGTAGAAGCCCTTGAATGAATATATTTTCATAGCATTTTGCTTTCGGTGTGAACAGTCAGAGCTACGGCGCTTGCTGCTCCTAACCTTTCGGCTTTTAATAAATTTAATTTTTGGACTTAATTTTTTTTTTTATTAAAATTCAAATTTATTGAGGAAATTTTTGGATCCACTCAGAGATTCTGTGTTGCGATTTTTGAAATGCTGTCACTTACCAAGAGATGTGGAGTGGGGAAATCCGCCAATGTAGCTCGATTGGCCTACTGCCAATTGGCGAATCAGTCACTTCGTCATTATTCAGATGATAAGTGTGAAGAGAAGCCGCAAGAGTCGAAATGTGGTTTGGTATTGAACGAATACACATGTGGCCAGAAGCCCACTGAGCCGTATGTTTCTAAACCGGCAACGAAGCAGCCACCTCTAGTTTCAATGTGGAAGATCGAGGGCTGCGACCAGGAATCCTGCGCCATGGATCTGCGCTACGATATGAAATACTATTCCATATCTGACAAACTGAAGCGCAAGTATCAGGTAACGTGGAACGAGTGTCCTCGCCTGCTGATCAAGCCGAAGAAAGTTTGCCTCTATGAGAAAATGAAGCGACCCAAAATTGAGCGCCGTCCGCGTTCCGCCATGACCGGCGGAACGCCCCAAAAGCCCCCGGAAACCCTTGATAAAGCAAAGAGTGCGTGCGTCTATATCAAGTCTGTGTGCTGTAAGACTGGTCGCAGGCCGCCCAAGTGCAAAGCGGCCTTTCCCTCCCTGGGCAACTGCGAAAAGCGCAAGACGCCCTATCCCAGCTATTCCGAATGCATTAGAGATCCGGCCATACCCTTGCCGCCAGTGGAGTGTGGCTGCCTGAACAAAGTCTTCACCTGCGATGCATGGGCCATACTGCGGCGGCGCGTCGCTCGAGGATTGACACCGCATAAGCTGTGCGGAGAGGCTTAAGACTGACGCAACCAGTGTGAGAGAGGGGAGCTGACTAGCACAGCTATCACATTGAAACAATTGGAGCTGGCGCTTAAGACATTATCGAGACTGTACGGCCTATGACGAGTAGAGAGGTTCGAATGATTTGATAACTGACTGAGTTTTTGGTTATAACCGCAGAGGAAAGTACAGAGTGAAATAGCTTGAGGAGCGCAATTATTATTTTTTTAATTTAATTTAAATTATTCTGAACTACCGAAAAAATATATAGAGACAGTTGATAAGTAAAATAACCGTATTTGTTCATAATCAACAATAAATGTAAGCCTTTTTCCCCTTCTAGGCCAACAGAGTAGGCTGATAGAGTAGGATTTTCAAAGTTCGAACTGCTGTCATTCACATAGATCTTTTCGAAATAAAATTCCTTCCAAATTTTCCCAGAGAAATGCTGCAAAATCAGGTATTTCCTGCCGGTCGGCACATTTTGTGGCTGGCCACGCTGACTCGCCGGCTGTGCAGCAGCAAGGATGCTTCCTGTGGCAAGGACACGCCGAAGTGCGACTCGAAAGGCAGCGGAAAATCGTCTTGTAAGCGTACACCCAAGCCCAAGGACTGCAAGAAAAAGCGTGCTCCCTATCCCAGCTTTTCCGAGTGCAAAAAGAACAAAATTCCGCCAAAGTCCCCAAGCGAATGCGATTGCCTGAAGCTTGATAAATAATATACAAATATAAAAATAAAATCTAGAGTATAAGATGTTATCGATATATTGATATATGTATATTTATTGTCGATATTAATCGATATCGGTGCAATTTTAAAACTGAGTAACCTAGGCTTGCTTTATCGTTTGCGATTCGGATTTCATTTATTGTAATAAAATTGAACAGAGCCACACACTTTCACACTTCCATAAATTTCTAGATAAAACGAGTAATTGAAATTTGTTCGTTGTCAAAATTCAAAAAGCGAAGATGCAAACGTTTAAGCAATTGAATGAACTTTTCAAATTAGGTAAGCGGAGCCTTCACCTGGCTGCCAATTCGACGCTTTTCGATAATAGCTGCTGGGAGCTACGGAAGCAAGCCCGCCAGTCGGAGACGACGATCGATTCGAGTCGGCACTGTAGATACGATCAGCAGTTTTATCGCCCACGTTCGCTCGATTCGCGCTTTATCTCTGACACCTGGGTGGCACGCAGAGACGATGAACTGGACAATGATGCAGCAGACGATGCAGACAATACGGAGTCAGAGTATCGATCGAAGCCGCCACTCGGAGATCGTTTAGATCGGATCCACTACAAGCCGATGCGCCTGAAGGATCGTTGCTACAGTCGCACCTGGACGGACTTTGAGGACCTGAAAGTCAAGCAATATATTCAGCCATACGTTCCGCTTCGGCACACACCAGCGCGCAAGAAATCCAAGCCCCTCAAGGAGTACAGACAGCCCATAGCAGCCAAAAGGCCAAAGCCCCACTTCAAGAAAACCCCCACCAACGAATGCTTCCGCTGCCAACGCGTCCCCAAGTCCACCACTGCCTATTATTTTTAGTGTTTCCGTAATTGATATCATGTCGACAGTATAGTTGAGATTTTTGGGTTTCTTTCGCTACATTTTCTTTCTAGTTTAATATACAGCATTTATAACAGACCGTGGCTTGAGTTTTATTTGGTATGGCTGATGCAGATGTGAGTCTATTAATATATTTAGCCTTGTCTATGAGAAGGTTATATGTGAGAAGATGGCTCAAGCATACGATTATGATTATGTAATAATATTCATAGTAATCAGTGAATGATTTGATACATTTAATACTAGCTTTTATATATTTATGTATATTATTTTATATATCTATTTTATTATATATTTTAATAGCTCAACGGATTCAATATTCTTCGCCAAAAAAGCTGTAAAAAACTCTAAGCTCTCTTAAGTCATATCTTTACTTTTTCATTTATGCTTATTTATGCTTAGATCGGCCCTCTTTTACTTTTTTCGCCTTCAGGTTTCAAATGATAAAAGTCATTTAAACAGATTATATAGCTAATATATTTGGCTCGTGATTTAGTTTACCTGATTCAGTTTATCTGCTTAGTCGAATCTCGCTCTATGATATTATCAACATTCTAGGCTGGCTTTGCATTTCACTTTAAAAAGATGACAAATGCTGGTGCGTTGGGAAACACAAAATTTAGTCGAAAATTAGGTTTGCTGGAGGAAGTTTCGTTCCGGAAAAAGGAATAATGAAAATCGATCAGTAAAATTCGAAATTTAAAATTTTTTTTTGTTTTTGGCACAACATTTTACTGACCATTTGTTATTTTCGATTTTGGCTCATCCACGATGCAATCTCTACGGAATAATTTTTCTAACCTGACACTAGCGGCTCTACAGAAATGCTCGAAGCAATTCAATCAACAGCTATTTGCATCAATCGGATTTTCAAAGCGGGGCCTTGACACTCTGTATGGCGCAGAGTCGTGCGAGGATTGCGTGGAATCGTACCGCATATCGCCAGCAAGGGAGGACTTGAAAAAGATTGAGGCGCCCGATCCTTTTAAATCCAAGGATCCATGCTGGCAATCTCTGCGTCGGACAGAGTATAAATGCCGCACTGATCCCGAATTTATGATTGATTCATTCGTCAATGAGCAAAAGAAGTGTCTAGGCGATCCCTGTGCATTCGACGTACCCCGTGCTGATCTGAAGTACTACAGGCCGTCCGATAAGCTCAAGAAGAAATACGCACGCACGTGGATCAAGTGCGTAATGAAGCGGCGCAAGGTGAAGATGCAGTGCGCATGGAAGCCAGTTGAGTACGAGCGTCGCACGTTCAAGAAGTTCGTTCCAAAAGATGCGTGCGAGGCCAAACCTTGCACTTTGGGTGTCCCGGATCTAGGTCTGGCCCAATGCAAGAAGAAAACCGAAGATTCTGCCTGTCCGCGGGTCACAATGCCGGGCTGCAAGCCGGGCCGTGTTCCGCCAAAATGCACTGTGGGATTCAGAAAGCCAAAGGACTGTCGCAAGCGCCTAACCAAGTATCCCGCATTCTCCGAGTGCCTCATGGATCCCTTGCCGACCGCTCCACCCGTTGAATGCAACTGCCTCAAGACTCCTTCAATGTGCAGTGTTTGGGAATACTTTCGCAACAAGAAATCGTAGGCCATCTGACCTATGCGAAATTTTATAAAATTTATATATATATATATATGTGTGTATATACATTATATATATATGTCGATATAAATTTTGAAAGAAATTATAAGCAATTATGCGGAGCCATACTTTGCGCCTGCACCAAACTGTGCCTATTCTCGTACTGTGACTAAATTAGAGTACCAAGCATAGGAATTGTCGAAAAGCATAAACAATATGAAATATAGCGATATTTCGATTATGAATAAACTTATTAAGGGACTTGTCCAACTGCGTTTCGCTTTATTTTTAATTATTTATATTACCAAAGCTCATTGTTTTTGTGAAATTCCTGTCTGTTATGTGCGAATCTAATTAAATGTGGCGTCAAGGTTAAAGATATACACGTAGCAGGAAGCGTGACCCTATAAATTATAGATTCTATATGTGACGGTTTGTTTCAATCAATCTCATGTCCGTTAGTCTCTGTGCCATTTCGGAACTCCGTCTGTGCCTCCATCCGTCTATTTGTTCGCCCGCCCTAAAGTCCTTCCGTTAGTCTACCCGTATTTCCCTCGCATTTATCCGTCTGACATTCCGTGCTTCATTTAGTCCGTTCGTCCTACTCTTGCACCAATCCGTACGACGATCATTCCGTTCTTTCGTCACTGTCCTTCTGTATTTCCCTCGCATCCATCCGTCGGCATTCCGTACAACTTTTAGTCCGTCCCCACGTCCCTCGCCGCAATGCAGTTTCTACGTTTCCCTCTTTCAGTTTTTCTTTTAGTTTTAAGTATTTGATTTTGACATTCCAAAACAAATTATTGTACAAAATTCAAAAAAATGTCTTTATGCCCCAGACTAGTGTCAGGAATGCTGGCGCGGAGCCCTGCTGCCATGGCCAGAAGTTTGGTGTTTTTCTCGAAGCGGCACGCCCACTCGGAGAACCTTGACGTCGACCCAGGCAAATGCTGTAAAATTCGCGACGCCGAGTCGCAGAAATGCCTCGAAGCAAAGATGACCGGATGCAAGCCGACCAAGCTGCCGAACGACTGTATCAAACATGAAGATCCGTTGCATGTATTTTTGGAGCAATATCCCAAGCATTTGCTGAAGATCATACGACCCCTGGATGACAAGTGCGAGCTCTACAGGCACGATACGCTCCACTATGAGCCGTCGGACAAGACGCGCCGATACCAACGCACGTGGCCCGAGTGCCCGCTCATTTGGCTGCGACCACGAAAGATCTGCTGTCCAGAGCCGGTGCGCCATCTGCCAGCGGAGCGGCGCACCAGGAAGCCGCCCAGCGGGCCCATCTCGGTGACGGACAAATTTGCACACAAAATGAGGCTGGTGTGCCAAGAGACGCGCTGGCACACCAAGCCAGAGCTGAAGTGTAAGACGGTCAAGAGCTCATCGCAGTGCACCAAGGAGATGGCGCCGTTTCCCAGCTTCTCCGAGTGCAATCAGCTCTTCACTCCACGCTACTGCGACACCGAGTGCGCCTGCCGAGCCGTGCCCAGCCTGTGCGAGCTATGGCGGCTCTACCATCGCAACACGGAGCTGACGAAGAGCTGCACGAAGGCATTGGTCAACTACTGTCCATTCAAGCGTCGAGCACGCCCTTTGCACTGAATAGCAAGTCAAGGGGCTATAGATACCGAGAGCTATTTCAATTTTACAAAAAAGTTTCCCTTGGCCAAGGCCTGGGTAATTATATCAAAATTCGTATTCGGTCATGGAGCTAAATTTCAGAACGTTTCGTCTGCTGTCCCCGCACAGGAGCTTCTTGAAAGCAGCTGGCAGCTGTTTTGTACGGCTTCGTTATTTATCTGGCGACCGGAAACCGCCCGCCGATCCGCCCTGCCAGCGGCACGATCCGGATTGCCATGCCGTCGACGACCCATGTGAGTCGGCACGCAATGTCTTCAAATACTTGCTGCCCTTCGATGAAAACGTGCAGCGACAGCGGCAGCAGAATGAGCTGGAGAGGCCCTGCTGTGTCTCGCGCTTGACGGCCAGGGAGCCCTGTCCGGCCCAGCCCTGCCCCAGGAATAAGCGCATCCGGGAGCAGAAAGTGGAGAAGCCGCCGTTTCGGTCCATGTGGGAACCACACTTCGGGCCCGTTCGTTCGAACTGCGAAGATCGGTTTCCCCGCTTCGATGCCATCTACTACGAGCCGTCGGACAAGACCAGATTGTATCAGCGCACCTGGAGTGAGTGTCTGCCAGTGAAGGAGCGCCTGAAGAAGGTGTGCTGCCTGGATGGCATTCAGCCGCCAGAGGTGATGAAGCGTGTCAAGGAGCCCTGTCCCGTCGTGACCTGCAGATTCGACTATTCGCGCATGCGTCACATCTGCGAGAACGCCGTAATTGATCCGACCTCAAAGTGCCGTAAGATCCACTGGCCCTGCTGCAAGCCGGCGCGCTGCACCGTGGACTGTCGTCCCACCAGAAAAAAGGAGCACTGCCAGAGGCTACGAGCCCCCCACCCATGCTTCTCGGACATGTATCGAGTGGCCAGAGCCCGACGCTCTGTTGAGTGCCCCCTGGGCAACTGGTCAATGTGCGAAGGCATTCGGGTGCAAATCAGACGCGATAGCTACGGCCTGAAGGGCTCTTACTGCTAGTGCCGGCAGCTACGACCAGGATCGGTGTATGAGCTCAGTACGCATGGCCTGACCACACTACTGATCCTCGACATAGCTGTCAATTAGCAGGCGAAGCCAGCCTAGCCTAGCATAGGCCGAGAGAGTGAAAGATCTTCCCTTATTGATATTACGATATATTCGCAAATTGCAACGGTGAATATTTATTCCTTTTCTGAATGTCGATTTTAATAAAAAATTGAAAAAGACAATCTAAAAAAAAAATCGAATCGATTCGTGTATTGATGACATCATATTTTAGGGATCTGTGATAATAATTTTAGCTGAAAAATACCCAGTGCCGTCCTCCAGTCTCTGAAGTGCGCGCAGTAGTGCATATCGCATTATCTGCTTCGACTGCGGGTCATTCATGTTCGTGTCGATGACAGTTTTGCCAGATTTGTTAACAGCGACCTCATTGCTCTCGCTGTTCTCGGCCCTCTCGCCGTTTTCAGCTCCCTCAGCTCTCACATCTGGTTTCGCTTCGCGATCAATCTTGACCATCGACATGCTTGGCTCCTCATCAGTTGCTTCTGGCGTCTCATTCGATTCGGCACCCGCTACAGGCACCTCGATAGTCTGGAAGGGCTTATAGGCTGGTATAAAGTCATCCTCAATATTGACTCGCTGAATCGGCTTGGAGTTGTCTAGCCGATTGGAATCTTCGCCTTTGCCAAGAGACAGCGCCTTAACCTCGTTGGACATTTGCTTTAAGCTCTCGCTACGATTTACAACCTTGAGCATTGCAGCATGAAGTTCGCCAATTCGACGCGACGCCTCGGTGAACTCATTGGTGCTCTTCGGTAGTTGGGCGCTAGGATCCGAGGAGGGATCATTGATGTCCATAAACGGGCTTTCGTCGTACATAGTGATGCGATTGTCCATAGATGCGGTATTTACCTCGCTGCTAACGATTTTTCCGAGCTGCTGGCTGTCGTCAGTGTTGCCTAATGCCTCGACATCGTTTCCTTCATTATTCTGGGCAAGTAAAATGGAATTTCCCTCATCGTGGAACTCGAATTTGTCGAAATCGGCCTTGAAACCGAAATTTAAATTTACTTTGGGTTGCTCATCGAACTCGACTCCTACCAATCGACCCAGGGTTGTCTTTTCGCCATCTGCGCTATCGCAGCGCTTAATTATGGACTCGATCCGTCGAGCTAGCTCGGTTTCCAGCTCCTCTTCACTGTCCTCGGCGTTAATCAGCTCGTTTTGGACAGTCTGCAAGTCCTGCAATGCACTTGCCTCCGCTACCTCATCAAGGTTTGTCGCAAACTCTCTTATGTTTGGCTGACCCAACTCAGCGTTCAGATCGCCGCTGCTGAAGCTTCGACAGGCATCATTGACATTGCGTTCACTCGATTTATTTGGTATTTCATTGGAGCTGGACGTGTACCTCGTTGATCCGATCTCGTTATGTTGTCCCTGGCAATTCATTCTGCTATCGGCGTTACATACTCCTCCATCTCGTGCGCGGGTGTGCTCGGCGGCGGAGGAACATATGATGGGCATCCACGACGATGGGGCCAGGCTGCAGCGACTTATGCAGTGTAAGCAATGAGCTATCCCAGTTAAGCGGGACATCGCAGCGGCCGCTTCTTTATGTCTTATATTAATAATTTAGGTAACAGAAATTTGGAAATCGCCCCAAAAAATAATTATTGAAAAATGTGCCAACTTATATTATAATATATCAATCACACATTCCTGATGGAACACACTCAACCGACAGAGACTGCTTCGATTTGCCATGTACTGAATGCTAATATATTTTGAAAAGCTGATGAGATATGATTTTATGTAAGAAGCCATTGGAAAATCCTTTTTGTCCACAGACAAATGAGGGTTATACCTAAAGGACTTTCTTGAGTAATCAGAAAAAAACTCAGTATATTCCGAGGTCTGGTAAAGAAGAATCTGTAGAGAACGACGCTACGATGGTTGACTTAAAGGGAGCCTCGAAGCAGGAGCTAAACAAGATCCAAAAAAAAAAAAAAACGAGTAATGGAGCCGACAAGAGTCGCAATACTTAAAAGACCTCGTGTTTAAGAGAGACATGAAGCGTAAAAGAAAACGAGTTTTTTCACATCAGGATTATATATATATTTTGTAAAGTCATATATACATTCTAGTGTGATCTAGAGTGAACACCTCTGGACTTGCCAATAGAGCAAGTCCACAAAAACTATATTGCATCTTTTACATATGCATCTAAATTATGCACTGTAGTTAAAATGGATTTGGTCTATTTGCAGGTGGGGCATTCGCAAAATTTGGATTGGATTGTATCTCTTTTGATACTAGCCCGATGGGCTTCGCAGGTTGAAGACAGTTTAAGGCAGCGGCATTCAGCGGGACGTTCGGGTATCTCAGCCGGATCCAACTGCCTGCACTCTGAATAGCTGGGGTAGGGACACTTGGGCTTCTCGCAGACTTTCGGACGTCGCACTATATTGCAGGTCGGAGGAACACGCGCTGCTCTACAGCTGGGTAGCTGCACTCGCGGGCAGTCCTGGGCTTTTTTGTTGCAGTCGAAGCGCGACTTTTCGTGATTTTCAGAGCACGCGCCTTTCGAAGAAGAAGAATAACTGGGAGGACACCGGATGAGGCTCTCGGGCGGTATGGCATCGCACCAGCAGCAGACCCGCTTGGGCACCATTTTGGGACAGCATTCCCACCAGGTGCGCTGGTATTGGCGGCACTTGTTTGACGGCCGGTAGTATAGCACATCGAACGGGGTGTTCGGACACTTTGGACAGCACTCGGGCGGATAGCTAAACAGCGCTAGCTGCTCCTTGGTGGGATTGGCCACATCCTCCCACATGGACTCGTACTGATCGGTATTATTTTTTGTTAGTCTCTTGTTCTGGGCAATCCACTCGGCCGCCTCGTAAAATGACTTTTGGTTCACTTTGATGGGATAGCGTGTCTCTGATTGACGATGATTGATGCTACAGGGATGCATCTTAGGGCAACATGTCGGCTCTTGAAGCTCTTCGCAGCTACCGTCTTTAGGTGTCTCGGAGTCACTTGAACGGCTATTGTCCTTTTTCTTGCCCAAGCGATTTGTGCCGTACAGCTTTGCATGCTGCACATGGATTTTCCCTAATGGCCTGGACGGACTTAGGACCAGTTTCCTAAGCATAATGATAATTTACAGGCCTCGAGTAAAATAAATAAATAAATAACTGATTTAAAATTTAATTTGGAATTTTGAATAATGTGAGGCCGAAAATTCTATCGAAAATGTTCTTTAAATGCCTTACGGAGTGCCTACTTGAGTCAGGGTAACTGACAAGCAAAGCTTAGGTGTAATCGATTAGGTTTTTGTTACTTTGGAAAATGGAAAAGCAGGGTATACTGTACTTGCGATAGTTTATGTATCAGACTGGAGGAGGCGTGGTAGACACCATAAAGTACTTATATGTATATTCTTTATCAGAACTTTTACTCTCGACAGCTGAGTTGATCTAGCCAGGTCCGTCTATTTATTTGTTCGTCCGGACAGACGGACGGTATGAGACTTCCGCTGATATCTCAGAAGATATCAGAGCTTGAGAATTGAAATTTTACATGTAGACATGTGTACACATTAAGCAGTAGTCGCTTTAGTTTTTATCGATAATAATCGATTATTTTATCTCGTGTTTTAATTAGTTAAAATACTCTTAGATCTTAGTCTTTGCATTTACTTGCATTTATTTAGAACATTATTACCCGGTTCAGAGAGTTCGATAAAGATATTCCCACTATAAAAGAAGATATAGAGAATTAATTGCAGCCCAAGCGCAGTCGCTGCAAGCTACGCAGTTGGCAGAGCGCGTACATATGCATGTCAATGCAGCCTGACATATATATTTATAAGAGTAGTGCTTGCAGGGTTGATCTGATAGTCAAGTACTCTCAATTACAGATTTCATACTTGTTTATTTTTTGGATATGTTTAGCAGCGGGATCCTTCTGCCACAGTCGACTGTTGTTTATCCACAATGAAATAAATAAATTTGTGATGCGACTACAGCCGAAGGTGAAAGAAGATTCACGCTGCCGGACTACAATAACGTAACTAACTCGTACGACACAATTAAAAGTTTGCTTGTATTTGCGATTTCGACCTTGGCTTCGAATTGAGTAGACTATTGGCGTAGTTGGCTAGGGCCTGGTAGCGGGCCTTCGTTTGGGCCACAGATCGGCCCAGCACCGGCTGACCTGGGGCACATAATTCAAGTCGGCCTTGCGCCGTCCTCAGCCCAATGCAATCAGCTATGGATCTGCGCGTAGCACTCGACAGCATCGATCCTTGCCGTATTCGGTTAACTCCGGGCAAGTTGGCGTCACGGCCTTGCAGGGCATTGCTCTGGCCTTGGGCGCAGCTATAGATCTTATCAAAGCCCGTGGATCGGTTCAGTAGGGGCGTCTGATACTGCTCCGACGACTGCCACAGCGAGCACTTGCGCTCCACTGGCGGCACTCGAGCCGGCCGCGGTGGCGGGACCTTGGGCTTGACTGCCACCAGTGGATAGCTGCAGCGCAAGGTGCCAGCCTGCACCCTCGAGTAGCGTGTCAGAAACTTGGTCAAGCGCTCCGCACAGATTGTGGCCAATATGGAGGTGGCGGCCATTGAAACTAGATGATAGACCGTTGAATCGTTTGAATGCCAGTTTCCAGTTACTCAAAGAATGACTAAAGATTTGGAGGACTCTCAACGAGATTGTACAAGTTTGTCGCTTTAAATGTCAGTGCACTTGCTTGATCAAGACAAATTAAACTGAATTTCCGTGTACTTTCGTTCCAACCAAAAAATAATAATATTAATTTCGTGTTAATTTCAATGAATTGTCAAAATTTTGAGGAGAACTGAAGCCCGACTTTGGGTGAAATTCCAGTTTTTCTTGGCATAAATTAAAAATTTTTGTGGAAAGCCAAGAGCGACTTTAATGAGTTGCGTATTCTATTTGATCGGCAAAGATTGGGAGGAAGATGTGAAAATCCTTTGTAAACGCAAATCGAATCGATACTTTGTCGAACTATAAACGATAATTGATACATGGACTGTCGGCCATATTGATCGCTTAGCCGTAGACATTCTACGCATCGACATGTGAATAACAACAAACTGCGCATGTTGCGATTTAATTGAACATTTAGCCAAATTAAAATACATTTTATTACGCAGCCGAGAAAGAGCCAAAGTCTTGCAGAGAAATGCAAAACATGGCTAAAAGCGCGCTCGCCCAATCAGCCTAAGCGAACGGGCCAAAAGGCCTGCAGACAGCCGGAGACAGACTCTGGGACAGAGACAAGGACTGAGACAACTGCGACGTGGACAGAAATCTCAAGCTGTTGGCCAGGCTTAGGCACGCAACGGTTAATCGTACATATATATAGATTTGTTTGTTTTTTCTATTTTGGCTGTGAATTGTTGCCGTATTTTCCTATGCGAAATTTGGCACAGATTCGCAGCCATTTGAGACGGAACTGTGAGCCAAGTGGCCAAAACTGGTTTGCCAGCGCGGCGGGAAGCGGGGGTGAGCGTTTCGGAAAGGCAGCTAACATGCGTTCTGCAATTGTTTAATAGCCTAATTAAAATGTGCGCTGGAACAGGTTAAGAGCCTGGAAAGTTGTACAGCACATGCAAAAAATGCGACGGCATCGAGTAACAGCAGCAGGAGGCGGCAGCAGCAGCAGCAGCAGGAGGCGACAGCTGACGAGTCGCAGTCACTGTGTTGCAGCCAGTCACTGTCACTGTCACTGTCGTTGGCGGGTGGTTTGTCACTGGATTTCTACTTTATTTTGTGCAATTTTTCTCTTTTTCTCTCTCTGCATTTCGTTTCCTTTTTTTTCAGTTTTTCTGTTTTATTTCTTGCTCGCAATTACATTTGGTTGTTAATTGCATTATGCATATTTATGGACCGGCCCGCCAGTTAGAGGGACTCGACTCCCGGACCCGGCACAATGCGGCTCATTAGCATACATCAGCGCGTTAAGCGCAGAATGAGTTGCCCAGGACGAAGCTAGAGCAGGAGGCGCAGTCTGAGTGAGTGAGTCACATCAGCGCTGTCTGCTGCCGAGTGCCAGCATCTCTGTGAGCATGCGAGTGGCAGTTGCCCTCGCTCGCTCGCTCTCCTCTCCACTAATTTAAATTAAAATATGAAAAATACTCGAGGCGACGAGCAGTGCAGCAGAGAGCACGAGTGAGAGAGCTCAGCGAAAATCAAATCTAAAATAGCTGCCGGACACAACATAATCAAATTGAATATGTCCAGTCTCTGGCAGACATGAGGTGTGAATGTTTTTCCGTGCGAGTGTGAAGATTTGTCGACAAGCATGTAAATCTCATGCTAGCATTTCGCTCTGTTCTATGTGAGTGACTGTTGTAGAAAAGTATTTCTTTAATAAAAGCAAATAAAAATAAAGAAATATATTACAAATATATGAGAGAGTTTTCTTATTATTACAGGCATATTTGGCATGCTCAAAAATATGAAATAAAATAAAATAAATTATGCAACATATTCTACATGTTGTACCACAATTAATAAAGGAATTTATTTAATATATATTATAATTTCCCATATAACAATTGTTAAAATTCTTCGTACAATTAATTTAAAATTTATATAAATAATTAAAAATAAAATCAATTGTTTCCACATATTTTTGCATATATGAACAACATTTCTAATATTTATATTTTGCTTAATTGGGCAACATATTCCAAATCAAATGTTGCTCAACATTGTAAATTGTTGCTAAGCTATTTATATTAGATAAGAGAACAGTTGAGAAGCTTGCAAGAGTTTGCTTTGTTCTGCTGCTCCACACTAAAGCAACTTCAATCAAGGCCTTAGGTAAACAGCTGCGAGTCAGCTCACACGCCCACCCACACACTTACACACACACACACACACAATAACACACAGAGATTTACGCACTCGCACGCATACATGCGCCTATGGGAATTTTCTTGGCCGCCAAGAATTGCCAAAGTACAAATTATACATATATACACACACACACATACATATAGATGTATGTATGTATTTATGCCTACTCTCAGCATGAGCACTTCATGCGAGTGCCCCGGCTACAGCCCGTGCTCCATGCGCCCGATGCTCGACTGGCGTTTGCTGTGCGCCTGGTACAACGCAGCGCTGCCGCGAGAGAGAAAGAGAGCATAGGGACTCTATAATAATGAGAACGAAATGGGCAGAACCTACCGACCGAGCACGTGAGTGCGGCACGCTTGGAAAGTCGCAACAAATGGCGGTGATAAATAAATATGCCATTAGCATCCACTTGGAAAGCAGCAGCAACGTCATTTCCACATGCAAAATATATGCACATGCATGTGTGTGGAAATTTTTTGAGGCGGCATTTGTATATCAATATGAGGCAGCGGCAAACTTTCTAATCGCACAATAATTGCAGGCAAAAATGAGAAAGAAAAATAAACGAAG